TGCTCCTCTTGTCTGCCTCCCTCACCCCAGAGCCCCTCACTAGTGCCTCTCCCTGCGCCCCTGGGTCCCAGTCTATGGAAGGTGACCCTGCTGGAGTTCTCCAGGCCAGGAGGACCCTGGCAAGGACCTGAGCGTGAGGCTGGGAAGGCCAGGGAGGGGACAAAGACCACTGTGTGCTCTGGCTGCCCCCCTCACCACCCCGTGTCTGTCATGGCTGGATCCAGCACGTGGGATGGGACCCTGAGGAGGGGTGGCCAGGCTCCAGGGGCCCGACAGCCTTTGTGACCCAGCCTTTCCTCACAACGGTGTTATTTTACTCATTGTGAACTTTTTCACACTGACTTTCTGTGTGTGTGATGCTGGGAACTGAAGCCAGGGCTTGTGCACAGCAGAGCCACACCCTTTTATTTCACCTTAGACAGGGCCTCACTAGGTCACCCAGGCTGGCCTCAAACTGTCGATCCTCATGCCTCTGCCTCCCAAGTTGCTGGGATTACAGGTGAGTGCCACCAGCCACCCTGCCCGGCTCTATTAATTCTGACTCTTTAGAATATTGCATTAAAATATTGGTTACCTTAATTATTAAGTTTATTTTTAAATTTTTTTTTAGTAGATGGACACAATATCTTTTTTTTTAATTTATTTTTATGTGATGCTGAGAATCAAACCCAGTGCCTCACACCTGTGAGGCAGGCGCTCTACGACTGAGCCACAGCCCCAGTGCTGACTAAGTTTATTTTTACCAGCTTTATTGAGATATGATTCACACATCATGAAACTATCAACTTGAAGTCTACAATTTGGTGTCAGTTTTTTGTTTTTGTTTTGAGACAGGGTCTTGCTCTGTTGCCCAAGCTGCTCTCAAACTCCCGGGCTCAGGGATCCTCTGTCTCTGCTTCCTGGGTGCTGGAGCCAAGGTGCACCCCAGGACCAGCTCTGTAGCGCAGTGTGTTTCAGCATATTCACAAGACCTAGGACATTTCTCATCACCCCAAAAGAAGACAGCCATCACTTACCATCTCCCCCTCCCCAGGGTTCTGGCACCGTTAGGCTACTTCCTGTCCCTGTGAACTTGCCCCATCTGGACACTTCATATAAACAGAATTGTACCCTCCCAAGACTGGCCTCTGTCCCTGAGCACCATGCATTGTGGCTCATCCCTGGTGCAGCACCTGCCACAGCCTTGATCTTCTTGGGGGCAATACTGTGGCACTATGTGGACATGCCCTGCTGGTCACCACTCACCTGAGAAGGACACAATCCCCCAGCTTCCTGGTGTCCCCTAAGCTCTGCTCCTGAGCGCTCCCTTGCCCCACGCTCCTCCAGGTCTAGCCCTTGCCACCCTCTGACCCCTAGAGGCTCCTCCTCTGCCTCTCCCCTCCCCCCAGGATCTCCTTCCAAAGCTGCATCTGCCCCTTGGACGGCCACCCCCCCTCACCAGGCTAGGCCCTGGAGTCGGCTCCTTTGGCCATCCTCCGCCCCTGGCATCTACAGGACTTAACAGTACCCTCTAGTGTCAGTGGCTGGCACCTCTGTGACCACTACACTGTGGGCTGAGGCCCACTGGGAGTCCTGGTCACTCAGGTGGTCATTTTCCACTGTTAGGCATGGCTCCTACAGAGGCACTGAAGGGTCTGGGGTACCGTGCTCTCCCCCAGGCCAAGAGATAGGGCAGGGCTACATCCCCGGGTCCTCTCACCTAGGGGTGCTAGCTGACTCTGCCCTGGAATGGGCAGAAGCCTGTACTTGGACCAGTGGCCTGTGATCACCCCCAGAATGGCAGGCCCATCTCTGCTCATGCCATTCATGGGGACTCAGGTGCACCTGAAACTCAAAGGCTTCCGACCCTGTCTGGCCCCCTGTGTACATGCCTGCACACGTGCTCACAGGCAAATCCTGAACCACTGTTCTTTCCAAGTGAGCCATCTTAGACCTGCTCAGGGGCAGGCCACATGGGCACTGAGAGTCTGGACAGAGACTCCCTCTCAGCCTAAAACTAGCACCCACTGGGGGTACTGGACTTTTCCCCTGCCCAGGTCCAGGTGTCGGGGTACCTGCCAAGCTGGGCAGAGGCTGGCCCTCCATAGAGGAGCTGAGCACTTTTGCTGCAGGGTATCTAACCTCTGTCCTTTATACTGGTGCACTCCTGGACAACAGCCCTCAGGGGGCCACTGCAGCACCCCATCCCCAGGGCTGTGAACTACCTCTGCAGTCCAGTGGCCTCTGGTTCTCCTGAGTCCCCAGAAGGCACAGACTGGACAAGGTGAACAGATGCCTTTTGAGTTGCTGGGGGCTGCTTCACCCCTGTGGCTCCTTGGTCCACAGCAGACTGGGGCAAAGCCCCAGAGAGCATCCACCACTTATTCTGGGACAGAAAGGAGGTCTGGACAGCCCAGCGTCCTGGGCAGGCTTGGGGTGTACCTGCCACTGCAGGAGACCCCTGAGATCTGAGGAGACAGAGAAGGGTCCCTTGCTGGGCACATGAGAAGTGGACTTTCTGCACAAAGATCCACCCTAGAAAAAAAATGGGTGAGTCCTGGAGCCCTCTCCCAGCCCTGCTGACCCCTGTGCCAAACCCTGTCCTATGTCTTCCCCCAGCCCCTGCTGCTGCAGTCCCCTGTCCTCCAACAGGCCATCCAGGGGCTTTGCAACTGGCCCAAGCATCAAGGAGCAGGAGGTACAGGCGACCCAACTCTACTAGTCTCCACTACTAGTTAGGCTACAGCCGGCTCTGCCCAGGCCGGGCTGCCCCCGCAGCGCCACCGCAGCGGGGCAAAATGGCTGCGGGCGGGGGAGGGGCGGGAGGAGGCAGCCCCTCGCTGTCGCCCGCCGGAGCGCTGTTCACTGCGGCGGGGGCGGCCAGTTCCTTCTCCACGGCTGTCGCAGCGTGGCACAGCCGCAGGCGGTCGTGCAAAAATAGCCCCCCACCCTGCCAGCCCAGGCGCCGCCCAAAGGGCACGCGGGGGACCCCGGTCGCCTCCGAAGCCTGCCTTGACCCCCGCGCCGCCCGGACCCTGCGTCGGCGATGCCAGCCCCCGACGCCTCCACCCCTAGCCTCCCGCCCCCTCCCAGCCTCCGTGTTCGCCGGCCTCCGTGCCGCTCCTAGCCTCCGTGCCCCTGGCCTCCGCTCCGCGCCCCCCCACCTCTGCGGCCCGGCTCCGCGCCCCCGCCCGGTGCCCCCTGCCCGGTGCCCCCGGCCTCCGCGCCCCCGCCCGGTGCCCCCCCCGCCCGGTGCCCCCGGCCTCCGCGCCCCCCCCCCCCGCGCGCGCTCCCGCGTGTTTTCGGACTGCACCAGCCGGAGCCCCGCGGCGCCGCGGCGGCGGGCGGAGGCGCCTCGTCTGTCGCCGCCCCCACCGGTGCCCGCGCTGCTGCGGTGGCTGGGGGCGCTGGGCGCGGGGGCCGCGCGCTCCGCACCTGCGGCGGCCGCTGGGCGATGCCGCGGCGCGGGCCAGGGCCGCGGGCGTCCTGAGCGCAGCGCCCGCCCGGGGATGCCCGTCGCGCTGCTGGCCCTGGCCATGTCGTCCTCCTTCTTCAACCCCAGCTTTGCCTTCAGCTCGCACTTCGACCCCGGTGAGTCCACGCGCGCCCCTGGGCCTGCTGGCTGCGTCCCACCCCCACCTGCCTCCCGCTGCGGACACGGTGCTGCTGCGGCCTGGGTTTCCCATTTTGCAGGGAAATTAACCCCTTTGCTGCCTGGAGCCGGGACAGAGGAGCAGGGTCAAGCTTAGCAGGACCCCTACAGGTCTGTGGCACTGGACAGGCCCTGGGGCCCAGACAGGGCACAGCTGGGCTGGCAGTGGTGGCTGGGTCCTGTGTCCCTGGGATGCCTCCCCAGCACAGGTAACCGGGGAGGGCTCGGAGGGCTCAGGTTGGCCCCAGGTGTGCAGGAGAGGAGGTTGCCATGGCTCAGAGCCCTTAGGGAGGTGTGTGGGGGGGGTGGCATCTAGGCTGGGGCACGGGCCATCTGTGGACTCTTGCTGGCCTATAGTCTTGGTTGGGGGGCTCCTTACCAGGCCCAGAGCTGGTTCTGGGGCTCCCTGTCAGGGGAGGTGGTGGCTGCCTACCAGGTGGAGGCCTAGAGTGGGCCTGGTGGGGCCCAGGCCTTGGGCAGCAGGTGAAGCAGAGGTGGGGCTGTCAAGCTGGCTGCGCAGGACTAGGTCCAGGCCCCACCCCCACCCCGTGGACCCCGCAGCGACATGTTTACCGGTGGCTGCTTGGCTATGGTGTGGCAGCTGGGTGGGCAGAGGGGGTGGACAGTGGGCAGTCCCAGGTGTGGCTAGGAGGTGGCTTTTCCTCTGCTGTCTCCAGCTCCCAGCCCCTCTGAGCCTAAGTGGGGGATAAGCCCCTGCCCAGGGGCCTCGAGTCCTACCTCCATGTCCCTGGGGCTCTGGCACCAAGCTGATGCAGCCCAAACAGAGCCAGGCTTGCACATGATGGCTCTCCTGGGTCTCCTCCCTGGAGGGGGGCCAGCACGGGCAGTGATGCACGGGGTCCCCTGGGCAGACCAGGTCTGAAGGCATTTGTTCCTGGGGGAGGGCTGTCTGCTTGGCTAAGGGCCATGGGTATCACTTGCTTGGAAATGACTTCCTGGGGTGACCTGAGGGGCTCAGAGACCACAGTGCCACCATCATCAGATGGCTCAGAGCTCAGCAGCAGCAGCAGCAGGAACTGGTGGGCTGAGGTAGGGGCTGAGCAACCCCAGGCCACACACCAGCATCCAGGAGCTGGGAGCTGGCCGTGGGCTGGGAAGGTCCCCATGCCATGCCAGACGTTGTCCAGCAAACATGGGTCTTCCTGCTGGGAAGCAGGTCCAGGCTCAGATGGGAGGCCTTGGGACTGCTGGGGAGTGGAGGTAGATGCCTCTCTGTTGGGTGCAGACTTCTCCTGGTGAGGTCTTTGCACCCTGACCCTGAACCAGGTGTCCAGGGCAAGAGAGACCCTCCCCACCGTAGGGGAACAGCAGCTCTGAGCATGGGCACAGACTTGGTAGCCAGCTGTGATCAGTGTCATTACAACGTGTCCTTTTAATGACCTAGGAGGGAGAAAGGTTGCTGGAAGGAGAGAGCCCCGCCATGACTGTACCCCGGCACCGCGCCTGTCCTGGGGCTACCCAGGAGGTGATGGGATGGGAGAGAATGCTCCTGCAGGGGTAACCCACAGGCCCTGAGGGCTCCGTGTGTGGGGAAGGAGAGGCAGGCACCTCTGGCCGTACTTAGCCCAGCATTCAGAACCTGCTGTCCCCCACTGAGATTCCTCTCTCCTTCCCTGACTCTCTGGGCTTCCATTTTCCCGTCTGTCCAATGGGACAGTGCTGGAGCCTGGGCTGCTCTGGAGGCATGCAGCTATGCCAGACAGTCTTGGGGCACAGCCTGGTGCCCGAGGCTCCCTGTGACCACAGTGGCTTGCTCACTTTCTTCATCCCCATAATGGAGGGAGAGATGGTCCTTTCTGAGCTCAGCTGGCATCTGTGGGTGGTCCTCTGGGGCCAGCAAAACCCAGGGAAGAGGGGCTCATGTTGTCAATGGTTGCAGTTTGTTTATGGGTCATTCACTGGTCACTGCAGCGCCAGGCACAGGGTCTTGACGGTCTCCAGCCTGTGCCCTGTGCCCCATGACCAGCTCTTGGTCCATCACAGGAGTTGGTCCTGGTCCGCACGGAGGTGACCGCAGTCTGATGGTACAGGTGGTGTGGGCAGATGTGTCTGAGACTGCAGAGGCTGAGCTGGAGGTGGAGGCCATTGGCACTTGCTGGGGTCTGCCTGGGCCCCCTCCACCCCCACCAGCCATACTGGGCAGGACAGGGTGCTGAGGGGACAGGCCTGGATGCTCACTCCTGGGGTGATATGGGCCAGCGCAGGGGAGCCCCCTGCCCGGTGCCCCCGGCCTCCGCGCCCCTGCCCGGTGCCCCCCCCCCTGCACCGGAAGAGTTGCTCATCTGGGTCTGGCTCTTCCCTGGCTCCCTGACACCCAAGACATGGGTGACTGGGGAACGTTCCATGGCAGTTGCAGTCAGGTGGCTTTTATGCTGTGTGGTCTTGGGCCAATCACCCAGCCTCTCTGAGATCAGCTCTGCACAGGTGAAGCCTTTTCCTGGGTAGACCAGGTGGGCAGAGAATGGAAGCCAAGAAATGAAGGGTGATGGGGTCGTCTTAGGGGAACAGGGGCAGCTGGAGGGGGCTGGGAAGGAGGTGGTGTTTGACCTTGAGGGGTGGGGTTACCGCTCCTGCCGGGTGCCCCAGGGCAGGGGTGACCCGTTTCTCACTCTCAGCCTCTGGATGACCGGGGGCCTCAGTGGGTTCCTGCTGGTTCAGGCCTCCATCAGGGTGCTGTGGTTCCTGGGCCTGGAGCTGTCCTAGGTGCTGGGTGGCGGTGCATCGCCCCCAGGCCTCCGGGCACGGCTCGGGCAGCGCTGGGCCAGGCTGCCCAGGGTGTGCTCACCAGCCCCCTCCTGGGCACCTGGCCCTGTCTGTGCCTCCGTTTCCTGATCTCTAAGCTGGGGGCTGTGGTATCCTCCCTGGTGTGGAGCACTCAGCCGAGCTGGGTACCTGGACAGTGTTTGTCAAGGCTGTCCCCGGTCAGGTGTCCTGGACCAGTCAGCAGCACTTGGAGTGTGTGGAGACTCGTGGAGGACAGGGCAGCTGGGCCAGCACCTTCCCCACTTCCCACCCCATCCTCCAGCCCCTCAGCTCACATCCTCCCCTCTGGGGAGGCCCAGCCTCACCAGGACAGTGGCTCCTCCCGGGTCCATGTGTGGCCAGGCACACAGCCAGGCGCACCAGGGCCCACAGTGACCATGCAGCAGAGGAGGCCGAGTCCCAGACCAGGCCTGGTCGAGCAGCACAGGGGTGAGGGACTCAGGGGGCCCAAGGGCCCAAGAAGGTGCCCTGGGACAGCCGGGTGTTATCCCCGTCCTGCTTCCTGGCTCACAGATGGGCCCTGGAAACCAGAGAGCCGTGACCCCGACTCCTGAGCCTGGGGCTGTGGGGCCTGGGTGAAGGCAGAGCGTCTCCTGGGGACAGGAGCCTGGCCGAGCCGGGGAGTGGTCTGGGAGCCCAGGAGGGAGCTCATGAGGCCAGGGAGGAGATGTGAGGTCCCAGGCCCTGGGCAGGGAGGGAAACCCTTTCTCTCCCTTCTGGCACATTCTCCAGGAAGTGGGGTGTGCCCTTCCCTCAGATGGGCTCTACCTGCTCCCACCCTGCCCAGGGCCCAGCCACCCACCTGCCCCTGCGGGTTCATACACCCGTGAACACGTACACACACGTGCTCCTGTGCCTCACGCCCACTGATCCCACACACACCTGACACGCACACCCGCACCTGGGCACACGCGGGGCAGTGGACGTCCTCCGCCGTCTGTACCTGTGGCTTCTGTGGTCAGAGCCCAGGCTTGGAGCCGCCTTCCCTGGTCCTTCCCAGGCCAGACCCTCTCTCTTGGGGGACCTTGAACTGGGCCCGCTGGTGCTGCTGGCTTTGGCGTGGGCCTGAGTCCCCCAGATGGCCTGGCTGGACCTGTGGTGGCTGTGACTTGAAACGTGTAGGAAGGCTCTGCCTTGGGTCTCTGTGCATTTCAGGGTGCCCAGACCCCCACGCTGTGCCCCAGCCCTGACCACCTGCGTGGACTGCGTGACTGTGGACGAGTGTCTTGTGAGATTCGGCAGCCCCTGCTGTGGGTGGCTCCTGAGACTCTGGGGACTGGCCAGAGTCCCCTCACTCACCTGTGGATGCCACCGCCCCTCCTCAGGGCTCCTCTGGAGGAGTTGGCTGGTTGAAGGGTGTCACCCAGATTCGTGCCCACCCAGGACCTCGGAGGGGGCCACGTGGGAACTAGCTCATGGAGACGGAATGCGTTAGGACGAGGCCAGGCCAGGCGGGGGGCCACCTGAAGAGGGAGCACAGACACTGGCAGAAAGACGGCCACGAGAGGACAGAGGCAGGGACGGGGAGGCGAGGACCCTCCCCTGGACTTTGCTGGGGAGCGTGGCCCTGTGGGCTTCTGGACCTGACCTCTGGCCTCCAGAACCGGGGGTATCAGTCTTGGCACTTTGCTAGGCAGCCCCAGGACGCTGTGCAGACTGTCGCCCCTGGTTCCTCAGGGTGCTGGGCCCTCGGCAGTGGGGGTGAGCAGGGATGTGTCTGAGGCATGGCTGTCCCCAACACCTGTCCTGCTCGGGGAGCACTTCCCAGCCCCCTGCCAGGCCCTCCTGGGCTCTGAGGAGGCCTGTCCCTCTCAGAGGCTGGCCCTGGGGGCAGGACCAGGTGGGCCTGAGGGAGCCAACCCAGCCTTGCCTGGGGGGGGGGAGTCTGGGCGAGATCACCTCAAGGGAGCCTGGCCTGCTGCCCGGAGCCTTGGGTCGCTCCGTCCTGTCCCCAGGTGGGTCCTTGGTGGAGAGACTCGGGTCACCCCCCCCCCACCCCCGAGGGCCACGGTGCTGGGAGGGCTTCAGCGTCTGGGCCCTGCCTGCTGTCACTGAGGAACCAGCAGCAGCAGGACAGGCGGCCACGGCCTCCCCACCCCCAGCAGAGGAAGCCGGCAGAGGAAATGAGGGCAGCGGACAGGGGCCGGAGCCAGTTCCCAGGCCGCCTGTCTGGGCCCCGGTCGCCTGAGGACTGTCACAGTAGGCTGGTCACGCGGCTTACCCTGCCTCCTCCAGGGCCTGGGTTGGGGGCCGGGGCCGCAGGGGCAGGTGAGGGTGGGCTGCTCCTGGGCCACGCTCTGGGGCGGAGCCGCAGCCGGAGCCACCAGGAGCCACTGGCTGGAGTCCGGTAGGTGGGGTTGTGAGGCTGCTCCGCCGTGCCAGCCTGGGGCGGGCAGGACGCTGATGCCAGGCCTCTGCGGGGACGAGGACCCTGCCAGAGGATGTGGCCACACCTAGCATGGGCAGAGCCTCTGCAGGGGGGCTTCTGGGCAGTCCAGCTCCATCCTCCTGCAGGGCCCTGGGGGCCTCTCCTCCTCACCACTTGGGCACAGGACAGCAGGCAGCTCTGTGGTGAGGGATAGGGGACCTGGGTCCCAGAGCTGGCCCAGGTCCCCTGTGCCCTGAGGCTGGACTTCAAGGCCAGGGGTGGCGTCCAGGACGCTGTCTCGGCTTGCCCCGCAGGACCCCGTGCTCCTAGGTCCCCTCTGGCTGTGCGCGCAGCCTGATGTCCTGTCATTCTCCGTGGCCTGGAGGAGGGGCCTGGCGTCTGCAGCTGCCGGCTCCTGCCCCCGTGGGGCCCAGCCCGGGGCCAGCAGGAGGGGCATCCGGTGGGCAGACAGGTGGAGCAGTGGCTTGGCTCTGGCCATCGGCTGGGTTTCCTTTCTGTGGAGGGTCCGTGGTCCCGGTCAGGCTTGCTGGGGGCGGGATGTCCTCTGGCGCCCCTTTCCTAGTCACCCTGCACACACACAGATGGGCTCCGTCCCCAGTGTGTGGCTCAGTGGGTGTCCCACCTGGTGACAGTGCCCTGCTAGCCGCCCTCTTGGCCCTGTCCCCCAGGCTGCTGTCGCTGGGCTCTGCAGGCCGAGGGTCTCTCGTGCCCTCTGATGAAGGCTATTCCACCAGGCGAGGGGTGGTCAGCTCCGTGGGGCCAGTGTTCAGTTCTGCCCGACTTGGGCTGCCCTCCTGAGCATTCTCGTGGGCCTCCTCCTGCCCTCCCTCCCCCTGCCCCCCTCCTTCCCCTTTCTGAGGTTTGATTTGCACACCCAGGATCCCTCCACGTGGAGGGTAGGATCTGTGGCTTTTAGTGTTCATGGTCATGCAGCCACCGCCACCGTCAGCTTGGGAGCTCTCCTGTTCCCCTAATAAAAGCCCCGTGCCTGCAGCCATCGCACCCCATGCCCATCCCCTCACCCTGCCCCCTGGGGTGCGCCTAGCCCTCGGCGGCCTCGCTTGCATTTCCCCGATACCTGGCGGCCTTGCGTGCCTGTCCCAGGGCCCGCTGGCCAGGCGGAGTCCTCTTCCCAGACTGTCGGAGGCTTCCTGCTTGCTCTGACGTCTGGCAGCCTCTGCCCCTTCCCTTCCTAGGGACCATGCTCCGGCCAGACAGGACGCTGTGGGCCACTCATGCCAGGGGAGCCGCGCACTCCCTCCCCTGTCCTCCCGACTGGTCGCCCACCCCTCCTGGGCTCACCACGGCCCCAGGCCTTGCTCGCCCAGAGCTGCCGGAGTCTCTCAGGCCCAAGGCTGTCATTCCTGAGCACAGTTCCTGCCTCTGGGGTGACTGGCTGGAGGGTGATCGTGCTGGGACTCTGTGTGGACACGCAGGCCTGGCCTGGCCTGGTCCTTGCTTCTAAGCCCCCGGGGCCCCAGGTCTTGCTGTCCGTCCCGTGGGGTCCCGGCGAGGAAGGCACCACGTCCAGCTGCTCTGGACCTGGGACGTCCCTCTAGGTCTTGTTTCTCTTCCGTGACAGGCAGTCCTACCAGTTGTGGCTAAAAATAACTGCACCAGCGTGCGTCCCCGGTACCCGAGGGTCTGGCAAGGACCTGTGGCTTCCTCCGCAGCTGGAGCCTCGTGGCCCTCGGCTTCTGCCCAGGTGCTGTGTCAGGGCTGGGGGCCCGAGGTGACCAGAGTCTGGGCCGAGGGATGTGGGTCGGCAGGCTGAGGCGGGGGCCACAGTGAGATGACACTTGTGCAGAGTGGACGATGGCGTGTGCAGCAAGGCACTTCAGTGAGGGAGCGGGGGACTCTGGGTGGCCCTGACCTTGCCTACCCAGTGAGCTGGCTGCCCTGGGGCTTCCTGTCCGTCACCACCCCACCCTTGGACGGGCCTCAGAGGGCCCTGGGGTGTCAGGGAGCATGGTGGGGCGTTGGAGGGAGGACCCAGGCAGGACTTGGTGTGGTCAGACAGGACTGTCGCTCTGGCCGCACTGGCAGAGCTTCCTGCTGTCCCTAGGCCTCTCCAGCTGCCAACGCAGGGTGGCCTGTCCAGGGCCGGGCAGCAGACTTCGGGTCCTGGGAGATGCGGGGACCCTGTGGACCCAGGATAGACTGCCCTGAGAACTGCCGTGTGTGCTGTGGGGTGGGCGTGTGTGAGCGTGCAGATCCTGTGTGCAAGGTGCGTGCAGGCGCACCCGGGTGGACACGTTCATGCCTGTGTGCACACCGTGTCTGTCGAGGTGGGCGTGTGTGCGTGGGTGTGTGCAGCTGTGTGTTCGTGTGAGGGCACAGGTGTGTCGGGATGTGGGGATGCGTGGGTGTGTGTGGCTGTCTGTGGGAGTGCGTGTGCGTCTGCAGGTGAGGCTGTGGAAGGCGTGTGCCCAGCTCCCCTTTGGCCTGGGCCCCCCGCCTCGGCTCCTCACCGGCGTCTGGTGTAGGTGACGTTCTAGCCCCTGGCCCAGGGTGACGATGGAGGGGCTGACACCAATCTGGTCACAGTGGGGCCCTCCTGGAGCTGGACCTGGGGTCTGGGAGTGGGCCACCTCCATTTCTGCTGTCCACCTGCCCACAGGCTGAGCCCGCAGCTACTCAGGCCCATGGCCTGCCCTGGCTACGTCCAACTCGGTGGGTCTCCCCTGCTGGCAGGGCAGTGGGCACAGCACCCAGTTGTCTGGACATCATGGGAGCCTCAAACCCCAGTCCTGGAGGCCCTTAGTGGGCTGGCACCTGCAGGACCCTGAGTTTGTCACTGTAGGTCACACGTCTCTTGGCTGAACGTCTGTGGTCGCTTCTTAGCTACTGACTCCGTGTCCTGCCCAGGGGAGGCTGTCCAGGCTCTGGGGCTGAGGGGATTGGGAAGGTCGGGCGGGCAGGGCTGAGTCCTGGGCCTTTGGAGCCTTCAGGGTGCTGTCTCCTCCCTCGGTGCCCCTCAGGCTGCCTCTCACCTGCTGGAGGCTCCATGGAATCTGGTGCCCGCCTGCCCAGCACCCGGCTTCTAGTGGTGGGGCTCCTGGGGCTAGGGGCCGTCTGGAAGCTCTTGGTGTGGAGGTGTCCACCAAGGCTGGACATAACCTTGGTCCTGGGAGCTTCGGGAAGATGGGCCCAGATGACTGGCTGGCCGGGGAGGTGCCCAGGACCTGTGGCCCTGCCACACGAGTGCCGACCCTCTTCCCTGTCTCCACCTGGGACAGGACTGTCCACCTTTCTGGGGAGTTCTGTTCATTCTGGAAGGAGCCTTGGGTCTGGGCCTTGGTGCACCCTCTCAGAAACCAAGCCGCTGCCCCACAGCTCTGTCTGCCCTCCAATGGCCCATGGGGGACAGGGCACTCTCCTTCTCCCCTGGCCTGCTGTGGGAACCCCAGAACCCTGCTACTTACTCTGTGGGAGCTGGAAGGGGGCATCTGTGACATCCTGGAGACCCCAGGCTCCCCGGGGCACTGCCCCTGACCTGGGTGTGCAGACCGCCCCTCGGCTGCCTGTGGCCGCCTCTCAGCTCAGCACACGGTTGCGTCAGTTCCTTCCTGAGCGAGATCCCATTTGCATCACCAGGCGGGTGTGGGCCTGGCACCGGGAGGTCCCGATGCCCCATCTGGACCTGTCCAGCCACTGGTGGCCACTGTGGCTCACCTCAGGTGGTGGTGGAAGGGGCTGAGTGTCCAGGATGGCCACGCTGTTCTCAGGGACCCACAGTGCCGGACTGACCCTGGGGTGAGCTGCAGAGGGGTCTGGCCAAGGTGGGGCCCAGGGAGGGGTCTCCAGGACAGAAGTCTGTTGTGACTGTGGCCCCTGTTCCAGGAGGGTTTGGGTGTCCTCTGTGTAGGAGCTAAGGACACCAGGGCTGGAGGAGACCTGGTGTGGGGGAGAGCCGGAGCTCCCTGGGGCCAATGACTGGCCGGCCGGGGAGGTGCCCAGGACCTGTGGCCCTGCCACACGAGTGGGGCCAGTTGGGATGGTCAGGGCTGGCCACAGCTTCCTGTGGATGGCGTGGGCACTGGGTGTCACTGTTCACCATGGGGACGTGCTGAGGTGAGGCCCACAGACTCCACCCTCCCTCGTGGGCAAGTCAGCGGCACTGGGGTGTTTGCAGGGGCATAGCCACCACCTGTGGTTCCAGAAAGTTCCTGTCACCGGGGGCCCCATCCTTCTCCAACCCCAGCCCCTGGCATCCGTGGCCTCTGTGGACAGCCTGCGTGGCACGGCCTCAGGCGCTGCACGGAGCCCATGCTCGGCTGTCCTGGGTGTCTCCGCTGTGCAGAGGCCTGGTGCCCATCACCCTTCCCCGAGCCTCGTCCTCTTCCTTTCAGAAAGAGCCACAGCCATCCCCGTGGGCCGGGTGGCTGGGGTGGCCCGGGTGGCTCGCTCCTGTGCCTCTCACTCATTTCTGCCCTGGCTCCCCCGTGGGCGCGGTCACTGCCCTGGTTTGGCATCTCTGACGGCTCTGATCGTGAAGGGAGCTGAGCGCCCCCTTGGGGTTGAGGACTTGCATGTCCTCACTGGTGACTGAGCTTGCCTCAGAGCGTGGGGTCCTGAGGTGCCGAGTGGCGCCTTGCTGTTTGTGCTGGGTGTGGGGTGGCCTCAGCTCTTGGACACGCTTTCCCTAAGTCATTTTGGCGGCTGTGCTGGGTGCCTTTAACTTGGGGGCTTTTTAAATATATATATATATATATGTATATGTGTGTTTAGTTGATGGACACAAAACCTTTATTTTGTGTATTTTACTTCTCTGGGGTTCTGGGGATGGAACCCAGGGCTCACACCTGCCACACTGAGCCACTCTGAGCCACAAGCCCAGCCCCCAACTCGGGGCTGTAACCCCCCAGACTTTCATTATTTGACTGCGGTACTGGCTGCTAGACCTGAGGCCCGGTGGGCAGGCGCCCTCCCGCTGGGCGGCCCTCAGCCCTTTCTGCTTATGCACGTATCCTTTCGAGACAGGCCCCCAGCTGCCCGGCGGCCTTGAGCTGTGTTCCGCTGCCTCAGCCTCCTGAGCGAGTAGCTGCCACCGTGGTGGGGGCCACGCACTCAGGCCCGTCACAAGTTCCGACGTGGCCAAACCCTTCTATCTTTTCTTTTGTGAATCCTTCCATCATTTTTTAGCTTAAAAATCCTCAGTTGAGCTGGGCACAGTGGTGCACACCTGTGATCCCCGGTCCTCCCACAGCTGAGACAGAGGAGTGCTAGTTCAAGGCTAGTGAGACCCTGTCTCAAAATACGAATAGACAGGGCCAGGGCAGTAACTCAGTGGTGGAGCCCCCGGGGGGCTGGGGTGAGGTCAGCGGCAGAGCAAGGCCCTGCTTCTGTCCCCAGCACCACAGAGACAAAGTCCAAAGACAGAGACAGTGTTTACCTATTTTCTTTAAGATGCTGAAACTTGACATGGACACACCAGAGCCAGTCTGGCTACTCGGTGGAGGTGAGGCAGGATGGTGGGTGTGCCCAGCACAGCACCTGGGTCATTGTGGCCTTTGCTGAGGTGACCTGGAAAGGCCAGCGTCCTCTCTGCTCCCTCCTTCCTAAGCCTTCCAGCCCCCCCCCCAGGGCTCTGTCCACGGTGTCGTTTGCAGTGGGCGCGAGCACAGTTGACTCTAGGGCCCTCTGGGGAGACACCGGTCTCTGCAGTTGTCCCCACAGAGGACTGTGTTACTCTTACCAAACAGAAGCTTCGACAATCAGGAAGTGTTAGCCAGAGACGGCCTGGGGTGGCCCGGGACGCGTCCCTGCTCCCAGGGAGGCCCTGGGGCTTCCCCCAGTCCACCAACCCTCCATGGTCCCCAGCTGTCTACCCACAGGCACTGCCCCTTGTGTTGTCCACCCTCTTGCTGGGTCAGTGGGGAGGGAGGGCTCCCAGGGGGGCTCCGCCTTTGGCCCACGTTCCTGCCTGCTTATCCCTGTCGGGTTTGGGACAATTTTGGAGCATTTTGGGGTACAGGCCAGACTGGTTCTGTGCAAGGGGACCCTGACTATTGGTGCCACCTCAAGCAGAGGGGGGCAGGCCCCGTGTCCCTAGAAGGGTGCACCCAGGTACACTAGCCACATTGGAGGAACACTCCCGAGGTGAGCTGCCCCTCACACCTGGGCACTTGCCCCTGAGAGGGCCACTCAGTGGGGGAGGCCTGCAGGGGGCTCCCAGGCCTGGTGACACTCACTGTGGGCCAGCACCCCTGAGCTCAGACCCATAGCTCATCCTGGGGCACATGGGCGCATCCTCCAGGCCCCAGAGACCCTGAGGGGCCTGGAGGATGGGCTCTCTCTGCAGGCCCAGAAGTCCTGGGCTCCCGGGGTGTGAGTAGCTATTTCTGGATGCTGAGGAGGGGCTGAGGATGTGCACAGCTGGCCAGCAGCAGGAGCCTGGGGGAGTGGACATGGACCCCATGCAGAGAACCTTCCAGCTCCCAGAGCAGCTGAGTGGGTCCTGGGGACAGTCACATGGAGCAGGACTCTTGCTGAGCAGGCAGGCGAGGCCTGCTGGCCTGTGGGTTCCTGAGATTCGGCCTGGGAGGTGGGCAGGCCACTGCGGCCAGGGCTTCCTGAACCAGAGGGGCTGAGGGCTCCAGCAGTGGGGCCACCTCGGCCTCGGCCAGGGCACTCCCCAAACCCACCCGGGGCTTAGGTCTCAGGACTGGTCACGCTACGACATCGGCAGGGCCTTCCCAGAGAGGGGTCTGGGGCCAGGATGGAGTGGGCTGTGAGTGCCCTTGTCCTCGAGAGCCAGCACTGTTCCATGTCCCTGGCTCCTGGGCACTGGGGGTGCAGAAAGAGGCCCTGGCGCAGGAGCTGGCAAGTGGCTGGGTCCACCCTCTGAGTCTCCAGCGAGCAGGCTGCCAGGCCTTAGGGCTCCGGTGCTGCAGGGTGGGGCCTCAGCCTCAGTCCAGAGGATGAGCAGTGTCCAGGGCAGCAGGGTCCACCACTGTGCCCCCTGTCATCTCTCAGGGCTCGGCCTGGCAGAGGGCTCAGAGCACCTGCTGCCCCCATCTGCTGTCCCATGCTGGGGACAGTTCTCTGTCTGACCTCCACCCAAGGCAGGAGATCAGTGTTAACGGGGCCAGGTGGGAAGACATGCTCAGATGGCCGGATGGTTGGGGGACGTACAGCCTGGTGGCGACTGGGGTCACACAGATGACCCAGTAGTTGGGCCTACAGTGGGGTCACACAGAGCTTGGGCCAGGTGGCCTGCTGACCTCAGCCACCAGTTATAACCTCAGGCCAGTTATAAGCAAGTGTGTTGGCTCATCCCTTCCGTGGAAGTGGGGCCTGTGCCTTGGGGCCTTGGGGCCCAGGTCACTACACACACAGTCCATTGTCCTTCTTGGGGCTCAAGGTTTGGGCCCTAGGCAGACAGATCCCTGCCTGTGGATGCTGTCCCAGTCTGTCCTGCAGAGGGCAGCAGGGGGCAGAGACCCAGTGTGGGGCCGCCGCTGGCCCCAAGCACCTATCTTCTGAGAAGACCCCAGAATGTGCAGAGCAGGGCAGGACCCCAGCCCCCCAGGGCCCACGGGGCTTGCTTGGTGGTGGAGAGGTCTCCTTGTTAGAGAGCCCCTGACCCCTGACCCTGACAGCCCCTTCCAGAGCTGGGTGTGATGAGTGTGGTCAGGGCCCTGGGCGTGGCCAAGTGGTGTGTCCAGGACCACCCGAGGCCCGGGAGCTGCTGCGGCTCCCCAGAGCCCCAGGAGGCGGCCTGTGGTGGGCCCTGCGGGCTCTCTGGCCTTCCTCTGTGCGTGGAGGGCAGTGTCTGGGAACAGGCTCAGGGTCGGTGGTGACAGCCTTGGAGGTTCGTCCTGGAGCAGATGTGACAGGCCAGGGATCCCCAGGCAGGGCAGGCAGAGCCAGGTGGTGGCCACCGCTGAGCAGGGCTGAGCAAACCCAGCAGCCCCACCTGGTAAGGGCTGTGTGCCAGGACTGGGGGTCTGCAGCCCCCAAACTTGGGTCCCCAATCCGTGCCCCCTCAAGCACCTGGTCCCCAGGCTCTCCTCCCCTGCCGCGCTCCTGGGAGGCCCCGGCCTTGCTGAACCTCGAGCGCGTGAAGTGGCCAGAGAGTGCCACCTGGTGGAGACTGGGGGTCACACAGATGACCCGGTAGTTGGCCTACGGTGGGGTCACACAGAGCTTGGGCCAGGTGGCCTGCTGACCTCAGCCACCCTGGACTCTGGGCTACTCAGCAGGGCAGGGCCACACAGGTGTGGGCCAGGCTCTCAGGTGAAGTCGGGCCCTACCTGGAAGGGCGGAGCTCGCGGGCAGGGCCACACCCAGGCGGCAGGGTCAGACTCAGCCAGGCTCACAGTGGGGGCTGCAGGGGTCCCGTGAGGGCTCTGCTGGGCCCTGGGTGGTGGGCGAGTCTTGGTCCCGTGGCTGTGGGTTTAAATGGTACTGATTTTAAGCCCTAATTTTGTTGGTTAAAATGGAGGCTTTGGAGGGCTGGCTCCTGAGGCTCAGGGAGAAGCCACTCCTTGTCTTCTTGGTGTTAGGATCCCCATGTCAGGGCCCCTCTGATCACGGTGACTCTGCTGCGCTGTCACACCTCTCTGACCCCGGCCTCCCAGCCAGGGACTCTTGTAGTGGCCCTGGGCTGTCCTGGTCACCCAGGCTGCTGTCCCGTCTCAGGCCCTTCCTGGTCATGTCTGCCAAGTCCCAAGTCCTGGGGGTCAGGAGGGGGACAGCTCTGGGGCCATCTTTCTGCCCAAATCTGGGTGGAGCGAGACTCAAGGTGACAGAGACACCAGCACAGCCAGCTCGTGGGGAGCGGGACCCTCAGTGAGACATAAACAGACCTGGGAGTGACGGCCGTGGCCTGGTGCTGACGCCAACGCAGGAAGTGGGGCGGAGGGCCATCCACCCTGGTGGAGGCCAGCAGAGGGGTGGGGGGAGGGAGCCGCCACCCTCGGTCTGA